CAATACTGTCATGAAGCTTCTTACTCTCTCACCTCCTTCATTTCTTGTTTTTCATTTTTTATTCCATTATTCCAGATACAGTTCCATAGGCTCTGGAATTTCTCTTTCATTCTCCTCAAATCCTCCATCCTACACTGATTTCTCCATATCATATAAAAAGCCATAAAACAACAGAGAGAAAAATAAAAAATTTTCAATAACATGAAGTTAAATATCATGCTACTGAATGACTAATGTGTCACTGAAGAATCAAAAAAAAAAAATCCAAAACCCACCAAAGTAAATGATGCTATTGCATAACCTGAGTCAGTGAGGAAATTAATAAGAAAAACAAGAACTTTTTTGGATGAATGAAAATAAAAATAAAAATATCAGACCTCCTGAAGTATAGCAAAAACAGGATTGAAAAAGCTATTGATCTTGTATTTTGCATGAAGGTTGCCTTATATCAGACAGAAAAGATGATATTTGCCTTTTGGGATTGATTTATTTCACTGAGAGGAATTGTCTTTAGGCACCACTTGGTACCCAATGGTAGAATTTCATTCCTTTTAATGGTTATGTAGTATTCCATGGAGTCGATGTGACAGAGTTTTTTTATCCACTCCCCTTTTGATGGGCATCTGGGTTGTTTCCATGCCTTTGCTACTGTAGATTTTGCAGCTGTAAGTATAGGAATACAGATCCCTTTCCTATATGCAGATTTCATTTCTTTTGGGTATATTCCCATAAGTGAAATAGTTGGGCCATACTGCAGGTTCGTGTTATGTTCTCTTAGCACTCTCCATCCTGTATTCCACAGTGGTTGTACTAGTCTATACTACCAACAACAGTTAAATCTGACTCCCTGCTTGTGGCCTGGGAAAGCAGTCTACGATGGCCCAAAGCCTTGGGACCCTGCACTTGCATGGAAAATCTGGAAGAAGTTCCTGACTCTTGCCTTCAGATCAGCTCAACTCTGTTGCAGGTAGGGATTGAACCAACAGATTGAAGATCTTTCTGTCTCTCCTTTCTGTAAATCTGTCTCTGCAACAAAAAATAAATGATTCTTACAAAATTTAAAGGAAATGAGCAGTGCCTTAGTTGACTGTTTCATCTGTTATCTAGTCTGAAACTATCAGGACCAAGGTTGGAATATTGCCTGTTCTTAGGAAAAACACTGCAGTATTCTTTCCATAATTATGCTGCTTCTCAAGGTAAAACTCTTGCATCAATACACAATTTGGAACTATGTGGAACATGTGAAATTGCAAACACTTTTGTATTTTTATACTCAATCAAAATTGTGTAGAAATGTGTGTATGTGTGTGTGAATTTGTAAAGTGGCTTATTTATAAAGTTAGGGAAGACAGTGGTCTCAGCAGTATAGTATGTACTGATATTGACAATTTAAAACTCTAAAATATCTCTCACTGTGGTTATTTCAAAACTTAGCTTATATAAGTGAAATGCATAACCTGTCATTATTGTTTATATCCCTTGTGTATATTCCCACTGAATGTCATCTTTTTTACTTCTTGAATTAGTGTCAAATTAAGCCTTCGAATATAATAGAAATTAGAAATGTTAACTCAAAAATAAAAAAGAGGGAGAGAAACAAAGAGAAGTGAGACAAGAACAAAGGAAAAGTGAGGAAGGAAGAAAAGAAGGGAGGAAGGAAAGAAACAAAGATAAGAGAGAGGGAGGGAGGGAATGAAGTGTTATACACACTTGTATGAACATATGAACAACATGTACACTGCTCTCTCTAAAACTCTCAAAAATAGAAGCAACGCGTTACCAAGTACTTCTATTTCCATGACATCCTTAAGCACAAGTTTGAAACATGATCTCTTTAGAATCATTGAATCTTGAGTAAAGACAAGAAACCAAGTTAACATTATTTTATTATATCATCAATTGTAGATACCATTTTTATACATAAACTTTCCCTTATTTCAATCTAACAGGTACCTTTTAAAGAAAAGTAGCTTCTTTCTTAAAAGTATTCATTTTAATGTATTTAAAAGTCGTTGACAAATGAGAGAGTCTTTCTTTCAGTGGTTCACCTGTTAAATACTGATCACTGCCAGAACTAATCCAGACCAAAACAAGGAGACCCAACCCCATCCAAGTCTCCCCCAAGCAGCTTAACCACTGCACCACAACGTGACTTGCAAAATAACTTCTTTTAACAGCAGAATTAAAGTTCTGCTTAAAACGTGGTTAAAAGAAAATAAATCCATGCACTTTAGACAACTAAGCTGTTCCTTGTATGTAACAAAAATGACCTGTACATTAACATAGACATTCAACATGGTTCACAAAAATATAGAAGATATTTTCCTATAAACTGAAACAGAATAATTTTCACTCCACAATTATAAGGAACGTATAACAGTCCACACTTTAAATGATTCTGTCAAAATAAGAATTGCAGATTTGTTTTAAAGTCGAAGTCTAAGAAATCTCAAATGTTTCTGAAATGAATATAGAACCAAGACAGAACATCGGAGACATATTTAGCTGAAGAACTTCTTAGAACCCAGAGGGTTACAGAAGGAATGAAACACTGCTCATGAATGCCTTCTTTGTTCTGTGTAATCAGTTCAGACACATCCTGTACGTGCCTTCAGACTCATCGTGTTCTTAGCTTTCTTCTCCATGACTGTACTCCAAATAAAATGGGTTGTAGAGAAGAAGTTGGCTGCTAATTCATAAAATCAAATTGCAGTTGTACTAATAGAGAAAAGGTGGAAAAGGTGGGGACAAACCCAGGGAATAAAATGAAGCCGATAGTACCATCATGACTTATATCCTTGGTTAGCCCCTCTCTCTGCCCTTGAAAACCTAGGTTGCTCTGACTTGAAAACCAAGTTGCTCTGACTCTCCAAATATCCTTCTTGAGCTTGCAGGCTAACTCCTTGGGTCCCAAATGGACAATTCCATTTTTGTCCTACATGCATTCAAAAATCCTATTTCTTTCATGATTTTTAACAATGAATCATAAGGAAGTAAACTGATACCAACAATTAAAGTAAATCAAACAGAATGATGATTCACACACAGGATTCTTGGCTCACAAGTGAAGCCCTGTTACAGATTTCATGGACAACGTTGGTATAGTGCTGAAAGAAGGGTGCCATGGAATGTTGAGTCTCCTGGAAACACAGCAGCAACACTCTAAAACAGGGCACCTGGTGAGGAAAGGAGCCTTATTTTGTAGTTCTCAGGATGTGACTAGAACATAGTGTAAGCAGTGACGGGGTTGTGGGTTTGGGTCTAAGGATAATCACTCCCAACTCACTGCTTTAATAAGAATTGCCCCAAATTGACTTTAGCCTCTACATTCTGATGGACAGGTTTTGATTGGGGGGGGGGGGGAATATAAAAAGAACGTTGACAGATAATAGAAAGAATATAGTAATAGAATATTTGATTTCAGGTGAGACAAGTTTTAAAATGCTTGCAGTCTTGGCTCTAATATTGCCTCCTCTGGGGAAACTTGCCACCAGAAAGCAAGAGGCCCTTGCTATGGCACATAGTCCTAACATTCACTACTTATGCGACAGCAAATCCACTGTGTCACCTGTCTCTCTCTGTTCTTCCTACTGAAATCTGGTAAATGTTATGTTTTTACAAGAAGAAAAAGTATACCAATGATGTTATACGACCACGTAGTTTATAAGAATCAGCATCAAAAAAGCTATCTCACTTCTCAATCTCGGAATCCTACTGTAGGAAAAAGCCTGTCTCAGCTCTATTTTAAATTAACATTGTCCTCTTTGTTTTCACTTAATTTTTAATGTTGCATTAATAATTTTATGTCCAAAATATTCATTTCAGATTATATTCTTATAGAAAATTTCTCCCATTGGCAAACTCAACAAATCCTTCCTTGAAACCCAAATGGAGAAGTTGGCAGGAAATCAGGGCTGTTGAGCCAATTCTTAAGTTATCCAAATTTAAATGTAAGTTTATTTTTGTGTGTGTGTGTCTCCTCAAACTTTCCTTAAGTAGTGGTATTCAACATGTTTTATATTTTTGAACTATCATAGTAAGCAAGTATATTGTAACAGTAGCAGCAAAGCTTAACTAATGCTAGACTTACATTTATCAAACATATTTATAAAGAAATTATCTGCAAAGAAGAGGAGATACTTTTAGACCCTAATTCCACTGTTGCAGCATGAGTTTTGGTTATTGCATATTAAACATTTTACACGTCTTGGAAAAAATAGCAATGAATTGTCTTAAAATACAAACTGATGAATACTGCTGGTTGAAACTTTGAAAGTTTAATTTATATTCATGTCCCCTCAATGGAGTCACACCTTTATAAACCCATCATAAGTGAAAACATCCTAAATCAAAAATCCATTTACAACAACTGAGCTACGGAGGATAGAGCTTTGAAACACAGTACCCTGTAAAGTACCACTTTGTGACTTTGTTTCTCACTAGGAACTAAAACTACCACTGCCCCAAATCTTGAAAGGAAATATCAACCACATATTGCTAGTCTGGGAAGAGGACAACATTTAAAATGTGAGGCATAGTTTTACGGCATTCACATAGCTTCACATCATCATGAAGCTGAAAAATTATACGTAGCACCGTCATAAGGCACAACCCCTCTCTATGCAAAATGTAACTGAAGTTTCCAGTATCATTTTTGGAAACCTCCCAAACATATAGCAAAGACATCTCTAATTGTAGCCCTGGGACTTTATCTCTTTGTGCATGCTTCGGCTAAGTTAATGAATTTGGGTTCCAAGTTATTTAAGAAGTCAAGTCCATCTTCTTCCTGCTTTTCACTACAGCAGCCTACAGAGCCAGCTGGAGATCCTCTTCCTTCATAGCTATACGCAAGAACGTAATCTTGAGACGGCACGTGCTGTTCATCCTGATTACACAGATGTAATTTCTGCAAAATTTGAAAGAACAGATTTATTATTGTTTAAAACAATTTGAACATACGAACATAAAATTAATGTTTATTTACCTTTCATGTTTAATTTTTAACCAGTGTGTCCTCTAATGGATTCCTACACACAAAAAATGCATATGATTGACATATGATGGTACCATAAAGACAGCATTACTACATTCCTAGTAATCCGTACACATAGAAATATGCATACAAATGTTACATTTAAGTACATTTGAGTTATGATTAAATGTTAATTCCTGAATTTTCTATCTATAGGTCAGGCTAGTGCACAGAAAAATACACATCATGAATAGGAATTAGAACTTGAATGTCAAACAATCCATGCTGTAAAACAATGCTATCCGTGGCTTTACCAACCAGCGAAGGGCTTTGGGGTGAGTTGTTTGACATCTTTAAGTCTCATTCTCTTCACAGCCAAAATGAGAACAAAAACAATGACCATCTCAAGATTATTTCGGAAATTAATGATGAAATGCTAAGAAGCTCGATCAAAATACCCAGTACATAGCAAATGTGTGATAAAAATTAGCCAAATTTTCTGAGAGTCAAAGCATGACAAGATAGAGAGCTGTGCAATAATAATAATAAAATTTAAAAATCACTGAATTTAAGAGCCATCAATAAAATCCGTATTGCAAATACAGGCTTTGGTAATGAAGAGGAACCAAGCATTCAATCCATATTTTGTCATCATTATCCTTCACCAAAACAAAAGCAAAAAACTACAACTTTATCTCAGAGCATTGCTCATTTTAGACAAGTCAAATACTAAGAATTTTTTGGGTGTGTGGTAATCTGATGGAGGAGGTGAAAAACATCACACCACAAAACAAAAACAAAAACAAACTTCTGGAGACAAGCTGTTAGCACAGAAGATCAAATACTCCTTGGGAAGCCCATTTTCCTCACTGGAGTGCCTGTCTGGGTGTCACAGCTCTGTTTCCAAATGCAGCTTCTTACTGATAAACACCCTTGAGAACCAGCAAGTGATGGCTACCCCAGATCAAGTTACAGGCTCTCAGCTTCAGCCTGATCCAGCTTTGGGAAGTCCACCAACAGATGAAAGATTTCTTTGTTTCTTTATCTTTTTGGCTTTCACATAAATAAAGCTAAATTTAAGAAAAGGAATACAATCAAGTGATTCTCAACCTTGGCTATGCAATCATCTGATGAATTACCCAAGAACAAAAAATTTAATACCAAAATAATTAAATTAGAATTTTTCAGGGGAAAAGGACGACAACATGAGTATTTTTAAAAGCTTCCCATTGCATTTTTATACATACTGAGAATCCCTCATTTAATTCACCCTTTCCTTCACATTCTTGATTCCTTCTAAATAAAACACTTTGTATTTGCATGACACAATACATACTAAAAATATTCCATGGTAATTATATTTAAAATAAATAATGGTGATTATATAATATTACATATTTCAAAATTTTTGAGGTAATAAATTTCAAATGCTCTCTCTATAAAAATAAGTATTGAGATGATTAACATGCTAACAAGTTTAACCTAATCACCCCACATTCTACATACAAGTACATTACAATATGTTTTTCAATAATATTAGATACATGTCTGATTTTTCATGAAAAAGTAATATGAATCTTATTATTTATTCTTTGCCTCAAAACCATGTACAGATGTTTGTGTTTTCACAGAGATATACAGATTCGGTTTTTGCTTGTGAAGCGTTACAATTTGTTTCACATTCACCAACAGTTCAAGTCCAACATCCAGCTATTTAAGTGTCTCTTGGCATTCTGGTGTAGGCAATGGTAGAAAATCTGGAATCATATTGTCCTGGTATAATTAACAGTCTCATTATGAGGCCTTTTATTCAGAAGTGGAGATGCCTACAGCAACATATTTTCACTCCTCAGTTTGACAGTTTCCATTATTTAGTTCATCTATGAAAATATATGTATGTGCACATTTATCTATCTACCCAACTCGTGGAATTATATCCAAAGGAAGTGAAATCTGCATATAAGAAAGATACCCACAACACTATATTTATAGCAGCACAACCCACAATACTGAGTACATGGAAACAACCCACATGCCTATCAAAGGAGGAATGGATAAAGAAGTCGTGGTATATCTATTCCGAGGATACTACTCAGCAATTAAAAGGAATAAAATTCTATCATTTGCAACAAAATAGTCCCAACTGGAGATTATTATGCTCAGTGAAATAAGTAAATTGAAAAGGAAAAATATCATATGTTCTCTCCGATGTAAGGCAATATTCAGGCAAAATACAAAAAAGATATATAGGATAACATATATACATATATATATATATTCACATTTTTCTATATGAAAAAGTTTTCATGAGGCAAAACCATATGTAACAATGAAATTTAATGAAGCATATGAGCAGCCTCCAATTTTATGAGATTAGAAAGTAAGAACTATTACAGAAATAAGATATTTTACATCAAATAACATAATAAAATCAAAGAGCATTTGAAAAATGACCAGAACAAGCTAGAGAAGGCAAATGGAAGAATATGGAAAAACAAAATTATTTACAAATCTGTTTGTTTCAATTTCTCAATATTTTTCACTTGGATATTTAAAGCTTACAGTCAAAAACACATAGAGAACTCACTTCACCGAGTCGGGGCTGAGTGAAATTGTGCCACTCGGAGTAGGTGTATCTGCAGCTGTCCATCTCCACGTGTCCTCCCCTGCAGGAGTCCAGTGTGTGGTGATGCCCGGCTCCTCGGTAGGATTCCAACGTCTGGTGTCCTTTCAGCATTTCAATCGTTTCTTGCCCTCCGTTTCTGACTCCCGATCCCATGGTGCCACAAAAGCCTTGGCTAGAGTTGTTGGCAGTCTGCATCATAACTCCGTTGACCGAACACTGAAATCAAATCAAACAAGGTCAATCACGTCAGAAGGAGTTATCCAAGTAGATGCATAAAAAATACAGGAGAGAGAACAATTATTCAACCTTCATTGATTCATCTGTTCAACAGATATTTTATTAGTTTCTACTTATATGTCACAATGCCAAGACCTAAACAACAACAGACATAGTCCCTTCAATAACTCCAAAAAGCTCTTATTTAATTGTGAGACAAAATAATTTTAAGTATGTGGTTACTCTGCTGAGTACAGACTGCCCGAAGATTCCAGAAGCAGAACATTCAAAAGCAAAACCAAGCAGATCAGGTGAAGGAAACTGGAAAAACTTTGAGCTGAAAGACCAAAGATTAGCAAAATTGGCAGAAACAACCCGGGATCCATGGAGCCAGTCTGGAGGCAAAGGCAAGTGGGTTCTTCAGTCAGCTGAGAACGGCTCACCTGGGGGAGAGAGACAGAGAGCTACTCTGCAGAAGTATAGAAAGCCAGAGAATATAAATATCTATCTGCCATGCTAAAAAAGAATAGACCTTATGAAGAGTGTGGATATCCAATAAAGTGTTTTCACCTATTGTGGGGAGGAACAGATTTTTAAAAATACCATTCTGATCAATAATGTGGAAAACAAGTACGGAGACAAATACATAGTCATTGAGATCACATAGGGTTACTATACTGTTGAAATATGATGAGGATGTAAGACAGAGCCAAAGCAATGATCAGTGAAACAAGTGGCTGCGATCCATGGAGATTCTGCTGGTGGGATCAAGGGATAAGGCAGCCAGTCAATAACGATTTATGTCTTAATATTTTATTCATTCCTTATTTAGAGTGTCCACCTCCGTCATCCCAGTAAACTTACGTTTCATCTATCAAGCATTCCTAAACCTTCATCTTCCCCATTACTAACGTCCTCCTGTCTCATTAATTATCTTCTGACTCAACATCAACTTTTTTCTTTTTTTTATTTTGCATTTGGCCAGTCTCCTGCAGAAAATTCTCTTACACTAAAACTTCCTTACAAAGAGAGTAAATGCATATCTTACCCGTAGGTCACCTCCCTTCATCTACCCTCTCCCTCCACACCTCATTTAGGTTTCAAATCTCTAATCCAATACTTTCCTTCACTCCAGATCAACTTCTTTATCACTTGATCGGTCCCTAAGCTTTGTCATCACTGATCACAGTTCTTAGGCTGTTTCTTCACGTTAAGCTATTTTCACCAACTCTTCACACTCAAACCCTTCTTATTCTTTAAGTTATGGTGTACACTGTGTCTTTTTCTCTAGATTTTGTGGTTGATCTAAATCACATGCGTAGGCTTATTTTTCTGAATACTCTTACAATGCTCCATCATGCTGTTTATTGCCATGATTCTAGATTCTACTTAATCTTCCGATGCCAGTAGATTCTATTTCCCCCCTAAGTAAACTTGAAACATACTTAAGAAGAGACATGCCTTATAAATACTTTTTATGCAGAGGCACTTCAAATAATTTGTGAAACAAAAAAAAACATTAAAAGCTAAATTTACTTTGATGCAAAAGAAACTTTGGAATCCATTTCATTTTTTAAAAAATATGTATTTTCTATCGACCTTGTAAATTCAGAATGTGTGCATGAATTTCAAAAATTGCTGCAACAAATAAAACTTATCAATTTCATTCTCCACAACCACTCAGATGTGACTAGTATACTTTCAATAAGACAAACATAAAGCCAAGCATGTCAGATATCCCAACCTAAAAATAAGATAGAAGCGATTTCCACCTCCAGCCGATCCTCGTTCATATCTTCCAGGTGATCTCTAGAAGTTTCAGCAAGCTGCTTTATTATTTTTAAAATTCTTATCATAAATGGCCAGTTAGATATGCAAATAATATCTACAAATACAAATTGTGGAAAGTACCAAAAACTTCACGGACATAGTAAATTTATAACACCAAAGAATGAGTTTAAATTGGAACACTTGAGAGTGGAAAATAAGACAACAAAAAAACAGTATGTCTCGTTTAATAAATGCCACTATTATTAAATGCCACTCTTTAATAAATGTCAAACAATCGATACCTACTAAGACTGATCCAATCAAAATATTAATTCAAGTCTAAGTTTTGACTAACCTCATGGGAATGAGAGACAGAAATTTTGAGCTAGAGATAAATATTCACTAAGTGACTTACCACTCTGTCATCCCCGGGAGCTTCAGTGTTAGATATAATTAAGTTTTGCTGTGCTATATCTTCAGGAAAATGTTTTCCTTTTCTGGTACCAACAATTCCACATACTAAAGTTAGCAACACGGCTGAGTTTAGAAAAAAAAAAAACAAAAAAAATTCTCTATTCAATATATATAGTATAAAATAAGAATCCCTTATTTTATTATAGAGTCATAGAAGCAAAGTCAAGTCATTGCACAGGGTTTCCCCTACATGACCCTGCTTTTCTAATCTGACAGATCATAATTTAACTGAGAATTTCAAATCTTAGGTGATCACTTGTATATTTTGATTGTTTTCTTCTATGATTAAGGGATTCAATTATACCCACCAAGGAAAAGTATTTCAATTATGAGTTCAACTGCACAATAAAATATTATGACACTTACTTAAGGCAAAGACATTTAAGAGGCTTACTGATTTTCCCCCAAATTTCTTTTTGGCCATTAAAAAAAAACAACAAAAGAGAAATTTCCTTTAGAACAGATTTAAATCCATCTATTTTAATTAAATCTATTTTGTGTTATCTGTTCACAGTTTTTATCCTACTCAAACTTTTGACAAACTTGTAATGTAATAAAACAAACAGAAATAAAACCAGCAAATCTTTACAATGTTTTGCAGGATTCTGTACTGCATATTGGCACACTAGATCCCCCAATCCAGCCAACCACATATCTTTATACAGACCACAAGCTAAGACATTTATTTTTTAAATGGTGATAAAAAATCAAAAGAGGAACAATAGATCATGATATGTGAAAATAACATGAAATCCAAATTTTGCTATTCATATGAAAAGTTCTATTGGAATATAATTATGCCCTCATTTACATTCAGGTTTTCTATTGCTGTGTGCCTCTAATAGGGATAGACATGACTGGTTAAACACACACACACACACTATTTGGGGCCAAGGTTATAGCATAGCGGATTAAGCTACAGTCTACAATGTCAACACTCCACATGGGCACTGGTTCAAGACCCGCTACTCCACTTAAGAGCCAACTCGCTGCTATTGCACCTGGAAGAGCAGCAAAAAAAAAAAAAAAACTCAAGTGCTGGGCCCCCAGTGTCTACGTGGGAGATCTGGAAGAAGCCCTGGTTTCCTGACTTCTGTCTGATACAACCCCAACAGTTGCAGCCTTTTAGGAAGTAAAACATTTTTCTCACTTTCTGTCTCTCCCTCTTGCTTTGTAACGCTGCTTTGCAAATAAATAAAAATAAATCTTAAAATGTTCACTAAGAAGACACTTCAAAAAATTTGTAAGAAAATGGGACAAAAAACTTCTATATTTCCATGACTTAATCCTTTTTTCTTCTACTAATTTCTAGCTATGCTGGTCTTGGAGCATCCATTGACTTCTCCAGACAAATTCAGCTTGGAATGTCAGCACTAACTTTCCATTCAGGGTGAAATCTCTCCTCTCCCACAGACATTCCACACCGCTAACCTTTACCTCTTCAAAAACAAGCCAACACATCAGTGCAGCCTTCTCACTTAGGCCTGGCTAAACAATCTTCTAAAAATTGCAATTGTTAGTGGCCTGTGCAGTAGAATAGTATGCTAATCCTCAGCCTGCAGCACTGACTTCACAGATGTGCAATGGTTTGTGTCCTGGATTTCCCATCCAGCTCCCTGCTTATGGCCCAGAAAAGCAGCAGAAGATGACCCAGATCCTTGGGTCTCTGCACCCACATGAGAGACCAAGAAGCTGCTGGTTCCTGGCTTTGGGTCGGCCCAGCTCTGGCCATTGTGGCTTTTTGGGGACTGAACCAGCAGTTAAAGAATCTCTGTCTCCTTTTTCTGTAAAATATGCCTTTCAAGTGGAAATGAATAAATATTTCTTAAAAAGAAAAAAGTTGCAATCGCTCACACCAATATGCTTGCACATGGATTCCATAGCATTTCTGATCCTAATTATTTTTGTTGGTCTATGTCTGTCTTTCTCTCTCTTTCTTTTGTATTTTACTGTTACTATTATTTTCCATTATACAGCTTCTAGGGTATAGAAATTCCCCCTTCCTCTTCCCCTTCCTCCCTCCCTCATTATCCCCCACCCCATTTTCTCCCGTATTAGTACAGCAGTATAGTTCTGATCCTAATTCGTTTCTACCACTTTTCCTTCTTATAATTTAACTTATTTATTCATTCCCTTCACAAGGCAGATTGCTTGTAGCTTACTTTTTTATATTTTGTTCAATGACTAATTCTAAACAGTTGTAGCAAACAAGACATATTCTATATATATTTATTTTTGCTGAGTAGGTGAAAAATAATGAGCTTTTATTAGAAATATGCCATGCACTGCTTTGAACACTTCATAGACACTAACTCAATTAATTTCAAGTGCTGCCCATAGAGTAGGATACTAGATTTGAAGATAATTGAAGAATAGCTTAGTAACTTGACTTCGTCATATGGTTTAAACATGACAAAACTGGGATGCAAACCGAGGCAGTCTGCTTCCACATATATATTCTAAATAACATCTTCAATCACAAAACAAAGCTCATTGAGGCTGGAGAACTGGACGGAGGTAAAAAGATGGAAAAATAAGGTGTCACTGGGAAATACGCAACTAGCAAAAGTGACTCAATATTTCAACATTGGTAAGATTCAGCCTAGAAGAGGTGTTGGATGCAAATCTGATTATCTCCCCTAGTTCTGTGACTGAGGGATGAAAAAACATGAAATGAAAGTGGGTTTTAGTGAACTTTTCCAGTGCTGCAGTTTTACATTATCCTACTTAGCTCTGAAAGAGCTACACAGTCCAAGTACGAGATTTTTTAATTCCAAGAATAATGTGGTACCCTTTCACAGAAAATGCTCTAGCAATTCAAATAATACAAAAGAGATTTGAAAAGCAGACACACACATAAAAAGGATGTTTACCGTTTTAAAAATACTTTCCTGAACTTAGATATTTTTTATATTTTTCAAGTAAGCGAAAATACTTACAGAATAGTAGAGCTATACCCAACAATATCGCAAGGATGGCCCATTTTCCAAGTTCTATTTGTCCACTCCTTGGGGCCGCAAAACATTGACTTGAATGTGTACAGTCACAAAGATTAACCTTCAAGGTTTTCGTTGCAGACATTCCTGCTCTATCTTTTACAGTAATAGGAATTAAATATTCTTGAAATTCAGCATTTTTCTGATATGAAAGACGAGCAGCTGTATCTGAAAGTAAATGATTATTTTTTATGACTAATTATCTACTACTTAGAATCTACTTCACCAAGTTCATTTGGAAAACCATTATTCTTAAGGAACTACCTCCCATATGAAAATAAATATCAAGACAGTGCTATCTCAAACCTTTGTATGCCCCTTGTAATAATTTACAAGACATTAATAAAGAAATAGTTTGGCATTGTAGGACCCAATGGCATTCTAGCAGTATTTGATATTTTATCTATACAAATGAATAATGATAGATCATTAACATAAGGCTCAAGCATTTTGAATGAATTAGCATATTCATAAAGAATTAACACCTTCAGTAAATGCAAATGATGAACTAAGTTCACAGACTCTCACTCATTTACCTTTTGTATTCATCCATTGTACTAATAAAGTGATTTTTGAAAGAACAACCAAATGCTACCATTAGTACCTTCTATCTGGTAGTAATATCAATAACAGGAAGTTAATTAAGGTTATCCAGACTGGTTATAATGCATATACAAATACAGATAGATTTTTATCTCAGCAATTTGGTTTTTTAATCAATTATGATAGTCAAATTTTTTCAACATTCTTAATATCTATTTTAGTGGCTTTATTATCACCAAACCAAAAGCTCCATAGGCTTTCCCTGCAAACACAAACTGCTCAGATTTCTAAAACGGACCAAGTGATGTGGCAAAGCAACATGATGTGCATCAATAGAAGTCGTGTTTTTTTTTCTAAGACTCGATTAAATGCTTTGTTGGAACTGTAAAAGCCTCAAAAACTTTTGGCTGCACTTCTCATCTATGAGCTCCACAGAGAGATGTGAATTAAACTTGGAGTTATTTTGCATCCTTCATAATTACAAAGTGTCTAAGACAAAAATCTCCTCACGTAAGAACAGAAGCTGAGCAACTGCATCTAATTCATTCACTGTCATGCTATAGCTTCTGGTTTTCCTTACCAATCTTATTGCCTTCTAGATTGACCTTTTATCACCATCGTCGACACTAATAAACCTGGACAAATGGGTACTACATTGCCCTATTTGCACCCTTCCAATGCATATCAACTGTTAGCTGCTCTGCAATGCTCAATTTCATAGGAACAGAACATAAGGTCCTCTGGTGACCCTTGGCATTCCTTCACAAGACTTTTATACTCCAACAACTCTGCTTTCCTCATTCTCCTAGTATGTTTCTTTTTTGATGTACATTTATTATTTAATCTATTGCAGATTTTAAAATATTGGTTTCCCAGTACATATCTAGTAGTTTTGGATTAGGTGCTAAATAACAAAGAGGAACTACAAATGTCTGAAAAGCCATGTATTGGAGGAAAGCAGTAAACAGACTACAATGCAATAGGAAAGTGCTATGACACAGCTAGCAAAAGTCGCAGTCTCACTCCTACTTCAGGACAGATTTCATCAATCCTGATCACTTAAGCTGATCTGTTCTCTCTTCTTTATAATGTCAGAAACTGGAACAGTGCCTGATAGGTAAAGTAATATTATGAACTTAAAAGTAACTTTTAATGTCTTATTTTTTAAAAATTAATTTCACCCTGAGATTACACATTTTTCCTTCATTAGTATAATATATAATATTAATAAAATTTAAAATGCATTTATTTCCTATGAATTTAGAGTCACAAACTGCTAATTTAAGACATACATAGTGGAGAATATATAATCTTAATCATACACATTAAGTTTCCGTTAACACTGCAATATTAAGTATGTTTCAAAAGTTTATCTATAAATGATAAGCTTCCCAATACCATAATGAAAGCTTTTGGTCATTGTTATAAGTATAAACTTTGCCTTCATAAAACCTGTAATTCCTTTTACTTTCATCCACTAAACAATGTAACATTATAAAATACTTGTGAAATACCAATTTAACCCTCTAAAATATACTGAAAAGCAATCTTCATGTTTTTGTGCAAGCAAATAAATCTAATCACTAATTATTCAGAATATATCGCACATTGCACATCATTAAATACCATTAACTCTGTTGAGGCTCCAAATTCTACTGATATCTGGAGAAGCATTTTCCAAGCTGAAGTAAAATGGAGCTCCGTTGACAGCATCATCAGGATCAGCAGCTAAAATGTCAGCGTATTCCATCTTTGATTTGCAAATGATTATATAATCTTGAGGAATTGTCGGTGCATTATCATTCACATCTTCAATGCTCACTATAAGTGTTCCAGTACATGACCTACCAACTGCAAAGGAAGGAGTAAGACTTAGAATTGCTTCTAAATTCTTTCATACTCTCTTAAGGAAAATCATCAGTTAGATTCCACAAATTGATATTTTGGTGCTTTTTTTGTTTGTTTTTACAAACTCTGATCATAATAGGAATGTAAACAAGAACACATGCATACATTAAATATGTAAATCTTTAATAAAAATAATTGCGGCTACCCTATCAAATACAGTCTTCAATTAACCTTTTGCCAGAATTACTATCAAAGCTTAGAAGCATATACTGAATTTCAAATGCTCTCTTTTTAACATATTTATTTTATTTATTTGAATGGTTGACTGGCAAGAAGAGACACGAAGAAAAAGAGATCTTCAGTCAGTTGGCTCACTTGCCGAACGGCTGAAGTCATTAGCCCTGGGCCAAGCCAACGTCAAGGGCAGGAACTGCCTTCATCTCTCCTGTGTGTGGCAGAGGCCCAAGTACTTGAGCCATCTTTCTCTGCTGTCGCAGGAGCATTGACATGGAGTTGGATCAGAAGTGAACCAGTCAGGGCTGGAACCGCTGCTCTGATACGGGCTGCCAACATCACAGACAGTGGTTTAAGCTGCTACATCAAGCTGCTTGGCTCATCCTGTTTCTTTAGGTTACTAGTACAGATGCTGAACAGTAAGTGAATACAAGAAGCTGTAATCAACACAGAGCCAAACCACCCAGACACACTTTAAAAATATATGATGGCAAGACTTCGCAAGCAGAGATTCCAAATGTGTTAGTCTAAGGCAGTATCAATACACTGAGATATAGATAGATAGATAGATAGATAGATAGATAGATAGATAGATAATATAGATATATATATGTATATACACACATATATGTATTTTAACATGAAGCCAGGGCTGGGAGTCTAGGTGGGGAATATAGGCTGGGAATCTAGGTGGGGAATATAGGTGATTTTAAGGGTCAGAATTCAAGAAAAGGATCACTTAGACGTCATAATCAGTTGAACTTGGTGAAAACTCAAGTTCAAGTAAACAAAATATCTGTGGTCATCTCATAGACCCTACTCCTACATTTAAGGTTCATATTATCCTTTAAAAAAATAGATATTCCTATAAAACTGTATCACATAATACAATGTTAATAACAATAAAAAATAAATAAATAAATAAAAATAGATATTTAGGCGTAAGTGCCTCCTACACTGGGATATAAAGAAAAGTAAGACAAGACTTTGTCTCACCAAGCAGTTTTATCTCATTACGATGATTAAGAGTAGTAGAAACAGTCTGAAGTAATGTTTAATCAATCACATATAATTATTACATGAATAATTTCTAAACAAAAAAGAAGTGCAATAGATTTTCCTATTTACTTACAAATTAAACAATTAAAATCACTGTTTTACCTTGGTCTGTTGCCAGAACTGTGATATTAGACAAATAATTTTGGGGATCCATCACCTCTCTGTCCAGGGCTTTGGAAGTTATGATCGATCCTGAATTTTCATCAATAGTGACCCACCCTCTTGGGTCATGTAATATTTTGTACCTGTTAATGAAAACACATTTAGTATCAAAATTGTTTTGAAATGAGTAACTATGCCAAGTACTACCAATAACTTATTAACATGTGGGTATATATATTTGTACCTCAGACCATTGCTATTCCTAGTTTCAGGGTCATACGCTTTATAGCCGTTTATCTTTGAGCCCACTGCTGAGTTTTCTTTAATCCGGACATACTGGGTGAGAGGGCTGCATTCGGGCCCCTCATCCTGATCTCTCACGTGAACTGTAACTAAAGCTCTGTTCATGGTTGGCACTCTGGCTGCAAAATCTCTGGTGAATGGTTCTTCATTGCTGACTCCAATTTCAAGGACCACTTGATGATCTTCTTCATAATTCAATGGCTTTAAAAGAAAGTAGATGTAGCTTGGCATCAGTGTGAAAATACATTTGATATTTCGTTGAGCAAGCGAACTTTTGTCAGCATGAAGGGTGCTACAAGAATTTTATGATCACATTTTTGTCAATATTAAATTTTACATTTTGCTGAAGAAATCTGTAATCCTATGCTATCCTTTACCAAAAAAAACAAAAAGTTCATGCAGCTATTTTTATAGGGTAACAAAGAAGAAATTCTGGAACAATTGTGACAGTTCAGTCTTACTAAGGAAAGCTATCCTGAACCTCTAAGTAATAAAAAGATGGCAGTGTCTATTTGTAGAGCTAGGGATTGTCTTATTCTCTAGGGAAATGATTCTTAACTTCCTCTCTACCACCTACAAGATCCCAGGCATCCTATAACTTGTAAAACTAGCTTTTGTCTTAAAGGAAACTAAGAGTATAATGGTTTTATTTTCCTTCTGAGAAGAAATATTCTGCTTTAGTTGCCTATGATATCTGAGCCATTTCATTTTCTATTTTCCTTTTATTAAAATCCATCCAGGTTCTGATTTCTTCCAAGGTACCTATTTTTTTTTTTCTTCTTTTGCTGGCTCCCTTATGAATGAGTTAGGTAACCCTTTGCACATACTCAGTAAAAATATTATGAAAATTTCATTTTGAGACACTTACATTTTAAAATTGTAATTTATCCAATGAATTTCTGACAATCAAAACAAAAATGTGATGTATTTAATGGTAATTATCTTTAAGCATACATTAGAGAACTTCTCTAAGCCATAAACTTTTAGAGCTCATTGAATCTCACACCTTTATGAGATGGATATTATCGTCATCCTGCTACAGAGCAGGAAACTGGAAAAAGAGAGGTAAGTTGACTTTTCCAACAGAAAACATTCTTCCAGGCTGGAGTTTGAAACCAGGGTATCTGTCTTCACTATATATCTTCAATCACCAAACTACAGACCTTCTGCTATCCTTTGCTACTTTGCACTACAGTTCTTACTAATCTGTCACAATGTCACATATGCAAGAAAAGAGGAAAAAGGGATTTTTCGTTTTATCAATAGAGAACATAACATAACAACATATGTCACAGAATACAACAAAATTTGCAAGGTTTATTCAGATAAAAATATATTTGTATAATAACTTGGTTTAAACAGCTAATGATTTAAGATTTTAGAGAATAAAAGAAGGGAAGTATAATCCCATCCTGAGTAGAATTCTGCATTGGAAGGAGAGGAATCCTTTACAATTGTTAGTGCAATAATGGCACTCTTCCTCTTAACCAGTGAGGATAAGGTTGCTCATAACTGGGCCCACAACCTACAAGACAGAAAAATTTCATAGAATCTTGATATTGTAATGTTTACCCTTAAAATGGAAGATGCCTCACTGAGGTGAAAAAGTAAAGACATAAATTGTCCATACAATCACAAATCCTTTCTATGAAAAGGAGTAAGATGGGGTCGCAGAAATGTGTAGCTACCAAAATAGTTCTACAACACCTTCAGGTTTTCTAGACACTTGTAGAAAATACCGGAAGGCCAAAATGGAATCAGATGAGAAGTTATACATTCATATTTTAAATTAATGGAATTTAATGGAAATAAAGGCATACACATCCTATTTAGGTAGAAATTTTTATATGCTTAACATGTGGAATTAAGTTTAACTCGACTGGTCTCCATCTTACAGAAATCTATGCTGATACCCAGAAACTGTTTAATAGAACATTGTTTATCAGTCCTTTGGAATGAAAATTATTAAAGGACATGGACAATAGTTCCCAAAGGCACTTGCAATATTATTTTTAGTATCTCTGTGATCTGTATTACTTAGGAAAGTTATACACTTAATATATATTCAAATATAAGCAATTACTTGGTCTTTAGAAATATATATATATATATGTATATATACTCATATATATATGCACGTATAATCCTTGGAGAAAATATACTAGAAATCATTTGCCTTAGTTAAAATAAAGCTAGCAATAAAACTTAATTCAGTTATTTGAATATTTCTTCCTCAAGAAAAACAAGACCATTGAGTTTCTAAAATAATAACAATATAGATGGCATAGTCCCTCTTCATAGGTCCTGAATAACAACCTTGAATGACAGAGGTCTGGGAGGTGCCTCACCAGTGGGCAGAAAGCAAGCAAGCTAAGGAGTCAAAGTTCTCATATTTGATAAGAGTGGCTCTATCTGGCCTCCCAGATCCATTCAAGATCTCAAGCTGTTCTTCCTGACATTTCCAGTTCAAAGCCATTACAAGACAAGGACCAACTCTGAGAACTCTTCTTGGCTGCTACTTTTTCCAAAGTTCAAATGACTGGACCATTAAGAAGGAAAACCTTCTTAATAAGAAAGGTCACTTTCTTATTTCCTCTCCTCTAACTGTAACTCATTAAAGAATGGAAAGAATAAGTGGTTATAAATATCATCATGTAGGAGACAGTTAAAAGAATTGGGAATATATCCTAGCTAGTAGTGGTAATAATATCACACAAAAAGACAGATATTAGATGTGAACCACCAAACTAAATAAATTGTAAATCATTCATCAATTTGTAGAGCAAATGATCGCAAACTGTTCAGTTGTCTAAAACCTGTTAGTTGGGGAATTGTCAATTGTATCGTGTTACTATACCTTTACAACATACAGAACTCCATCATTAGTGGTTTTGTCAGTGGTGATTTGGAAATAACCATTTTCATTTCCTTTTAAAATGGTAAAATTGGCCCTCCAATTGGCAGTGTTAATTAAATCCTTGTCATCTACAGGTATTCGTAAGATTTCCACATTATACACATTTTCTTCTACTGAAGCTTCATACTGAAAGAGATATTTAAAAATCATTAAAAATGTATGATACTGAGAGAACTTCTAACAAAGATAGTTAAATATTTCATTCGCATCAAAAATGTTTAGTGTTTTATACAGCCTAGTTTAAAAACATGAATCACAAATACTATTGTTTCATTAAGTAGAATTTTTCAAATGAAAGAATTCCATTGCAAAGAAGACTCTAATGTTACTAGACATTTACGAAAGGAGATTATATGACTAAATAAAATTAATTCATCTATCATCTATTTATTTTGTGTTTTATATATAACATAAACATACATACTTCAAAGAAAGATAATATTAATTCAGGTAAAATAGCAGCTGATAGGTAAGCAGTGATTAATTTTGATGCCATATACTTACAGCATTTTGTCTGAAAGTGGGTGCATTGTCATTTGAATCTTCTACTGTAATGATACACGTGGATGTGCCAATCAGTCCAAAGAACTGACCGTCCATATCCTGCACTTTCATTATCAACGTGTACTTGTCTACAACCTGTAAACAATTCATAAATGATACCTCAATTGCACATTCTTCCACTTGTGTTCCATTGTGCTTTTTGATTTCCTCATTCATATACATTCTAATAATTTATAGACAAGATGATGTTGAATTACTAACAGCCACAACTGCATAATTGGCAGATGATAGTAAAGTCTATGAGTGTCACAGAGAGAAATAAGAACACCTGAGTTTCAACAATTTCTTATTTATGTGAGAGACAGAAAGAGTTTCTAGCTGCTAATTCACCACCCAAATACCAGGAGGAAACCAGAAACTCAGTCCAGGTTACTCAGGTCGCTCTCAGCAGCCTGACTGCTGGAGCTATTGCCACCTCCCTGGTCTACAATACCAAGAAGCTGGGTCAGGAGCTGGTGTCAGCTTTCAACTTCAGGTCCTCCCGTGTGGGATATAGGCCTCTTAATCAGCATCTTAGTCATCAGGCTAAACATGCACTCTTGGACATCTGAGTTTTTATAAGAGTAGTGTTAATTTGGGGTGAGCTGAACCAGATCAAAGCACCAGTTAAAGAGCACAGTGACAGCGTAAGACAAATGGATCCAAATCTGCGACAGTAGCAGTGAGAACAAAGAGCAGGGGTTACAAGAAACGTATGTAGGAGTTACAGCTAAATAGGCCTCCATAACAGGTTTTTTAGACAAATTAAGAACAAAAATATTTAGGGTAGTGCTCAGATATCCTTCTTGGGTAGGTGGGAAAATAGGAATATCATCAATTCACATGGAAATTGCAGGAGAGACACTTTTCTTAGGAGATGGGACAGAAGTTGGCAAGAATCAGTGGAAATAGTATAATTTTTCTTTGCACTTGCTACATGCCTAAAAAGAGGTTTAAAAATCACTGAGCTATCTGGTTCCACACTCAAGGGAGTTATTCCTGCCATTAATACCAGCCTAGGAGCCAAGAGTGTGTAGGTGGTGATGGAATTATTGCAGAGATCACATAAAGCAGGAGAGATCACAGGATGACAGCTGAGGACATAAGGAACAACAGCAGTCAAGCATGGAAAAAAACTAATCAAAGGACACTAAACGGGAAGATCAAAAAGCTGAGAACCAGAATCCCATGAGTTAAGTGCCAACAGTGGATAGTGACATGAAGTAACTATGATATTTGGCAATTACATAATCTCTGTTTTGCATACAGTGGAGTAATGTAAAACTGGACCCATGGTTTCATGATACAGCCATCATCGCTTTCTTACTTTTATCTTACTGTTTGACTTCTTTTATCTTATTTACCTATTTATCTTATTGACTTCTTTTATTTTATTTCCCTCATTTGAATTCCTTGGATTTTATTTAACTTGATCTCCTTTCCACATTGAAAATCTGCATTTCCACTCTCACTTATCTCTCCCAAAGGCTTTAAGAATCTGGTTGCCTGATTTTTTCAATCATCTATTTCAGGATAACTTTATTTCCTCATTTATTTCTTTAATTTCCGTGTTGTTCTGCACAGCAGACTCAATAACAGTGCCTCATACTATCTTACTACATTTTTTTCACCCTCCGAGTAAACCTGGGTTTCATCACAAAATTGCATCTTATTAGTTGTCTAACCTTAAATCATTTCATTTTTAGAAAATGGGAGTAAAAGAGGAATTTCAAGTACCTTGGTTTCACTTTGTTTTCATATCATCTCCACATTCTCCACAGACTAAAAAAAAATCTCTATTGTCCATTCCAAAATTTTCCCATTTTATTATCATTACATTTGTCACATGAAATGCTCTAGGCCCACAAAATTAAAATCTACTCATATCTAAATATTTTGTACTTCTGCCGATTCATTTGTACAGGCTTCCACTGTTCTCTTTTCATATGGTAAGAAATTTCTTGAATTGTTCTTTGTAAATTTTCTCCTAGTAATATGAATCCCTCTGTTGATGTTTTTCAAACTATAGCAAGAACCAAAGAAGGGTCCTGATAAAGCTACGTCATCCGTGTGAAAGCTATAAAGAGGAAATAGAATTATTCACAAAATGATCGAAGAAAGTGCTACACACATAATGTTATGCTACTATAGTCATCCACATCATATTATAGATTTTTAGTAACTCATCAAGTAGACCTCAATTAAATCTTTCCTGATTTCATCTATATAACTGCGGAGGGACTATGATATCATTTGTACTCATGGAACAAGCAAAACTGCCTCTGACAAGAGAGTTGAAGGCTTTCATGATGCAGAATAAATTAACCACATACAAGAAATAGAATAGTACTCAATGATAAGTATTTTAATGCTTAATATGTTTGTTACCTCTTATGAAAACAGATTGATCTGTAGTTCCATTCTTACTGCCTTCTCTTACACAGTAAAACGAAAATAATATCATACAACAACAACAAAACAAAATGTCAGGAGTTCTTATTGTCTTGTGCCTAAAATAACATTGGAAACTCTTAATTCATACGTAGGCTATGAAGTTACAGTAAATGAAGAGGAACAGGTTTAATCCCGAGTCTTTGATACCTCTCTGTCCATGGAATGAGACTTAGTGGTGATAACACCTGTCTTTGGATCCACAGAAAACATCCCAGGTGATTTTGGTGTTTGCTCCAAAATGCTGTACTTCAGTTGTGTATGCATTGTATCAGGTTCATCTCTGTCCGTGGCACAGACTACTCCGACTTCAGTACCTGCACATTTACAAAATCATCTTTAATTTCCAAAACCTCAAAACATTTCTAAAGTATATACACTTTTGAAGTGCTAGAAACCTAATGTAAAATGTATTACTTACCGGTAGGAGGTTTTACATCTTTAGCTAGTATTGATGAAGATGACTTCAGATTTAGAATACAAAGCAATTTGATTGTGAGAATCAACATATATCTGTGCCATGTTCACGGTTTAAATGTTTGATGGTAAACTACTAAAAGAAGTTAGCGAAATGCAATCAAGAAAAATCTGGGGACCCAGCGTTGAGGCATAGCTGGCAAGGTCACCTTCTGCAAGGCAGGCACTCTGGTTGCTCCACAAAAGCAGAGAAACATGGTCCTAGTATCTGGGTCATTGCCAGCAACGTAGAAGACTTGGATGAAGTGCCTGGCTCCTGCCTCCGGCCTTGCAAAGCCCTGCCATTGTAGCCATTTTGCGAGTGAACCAGTTTTGATAGAAAACTTCCCTCCCTCTCTCCCACTCAATCTCACGCTTTCAAATAAATAAATAAATAAATACTTAAAAAGAAAATGTATGCGTATACATATAGGCATTGAACTATTTCTCTATATATATATTGAATTATTTTTAAAACATTGAACTTTTGATTACTAAAATCTATCAGTGATTTTTGTTTTTTTAGATTACACATGTAATATGTAATAGGTTATCGTAGACTAGATAAATTATCAAAGTAAAACATAAAGACAAAAGGAGATTTAAGAATTCAATGAATTTCAAAGTGGTTACTAGAAACTATCAGGCAAGTTAGCAACATCCTCCTTTACAACTGTGCTACTGCTCCAATGGGTTTACATTTTTTAATATGTTCTTCAAAAACTCTTTTGAAAGCCAAAGTTATAAACAGAAGGATATTCTGTTTATATCCCCTATTCACTGTTTCATTCTTCAAATGTCAACAATGTTGGGGGCTGAGGCAGGCTGAGACCAGGAGCCAGGCAACTCTTCCTTTTCCACATAGGTGCAAAGCAGCCCAAGGACTTGGGCCATCCTCCTTTGCTTTCCCAGGTACATCAGCCAGGAGCTGAATTGAAAGCAGAATAGCCAGTACTTGAACTCAGCACTCAGATGGGACCAGAGCTGCAGGAAACGATTTAACCCATTGAATCACAATGCCAGCCCCCATAATTTCAATCTTACTGAAAATCTCAGAAGATAAAATAAATGCCTCACTCAACAGTCCTTATGCTGGAGCACTTTAACTTATAAATGAGGGTAAATGTTTGGGATAGAGAACTTATGATGTGAGTTTCTCTAAATTTACATTATTCATTCGAATATGGAAGTCGTGAGTAGTTTTAAGAGAAAAGGCAATAGAAGAAAGGACTATAAGAAGTTGTATCTTCAGTGGATGTCACTCATTAGTTTCTATCTAAAGTGGGATTCTGCACAGTGGCCCAGTGGCTAAATCTTACTTTGAGCATGCTGGGATCCCATATGGGTACCAATTCCTGTCCTGGCTGCTCCACATCCCATCCTGCTCCCTGCTTGTAGCCCATCAAGGCAGTAGAGGATGGCCCAAAGCCTTGGGACTCTGCATCCATGTGAGGGATCCAGAAGAAGCTCCTGCTTGCTAGCTTTGGATCAGCTCAGCTCTGGCTGTTGCAGCCATGTGGGGAGTGAATCAGCAGATGGATAATCTTTATCTGTTGTCTCTCCTCCTCTCTGTAAATCTGCCTTTCTAATAAAAATAAAGAAATCTTAAATTTTAAAAATCTAAAGTCTTCTCTAGGAGGTGAGAACAAAGATAAATGCATATAAAGAGAGAACGAAATAAAATTTACAAGCCAAATGTGATAAAGTTTAAACAACTATTAGATGACACTATAGGTAATTAGTGTCATATTGACAACACCAAAAGCTTCTGTAATATCTGGAAGATACATATTTTAACTAGAATGGATAAAATAAAATTTTTTAGTACACAGAAACTAGTCCCACATCATATCATAAGAAGAAGACTAATAAGCTCAATGTCTTAGAAAAATTTTCCCAAACATAGTTAACATAAAAGTAGCCTTACCAAGTCTACTACTTTCTGGAACTTTAAAATTATAAATGGGTTTGGTGAAAACTGGGTGGTTGTCGTTTTCGTCCTCCACTTTGATAGGCAGTGGAAGTGGAAAGTCTGCAGAGTACCCATCGGCAGTATATGCATAAGCAACCAACTGTAAGACAGGAAAACACAAGCTTAACCCTCCATCAGATGCTATCCAAGAAAGGATAAGAGGCTCTGTTACCTTCTTTACGAATCTTTCCAATTATAAACCACTCTAACGACTTGCGTTCATTGCTTTTTTTAATTACCAAACCATCCAACAGAGACACGCCTCACAGCAAAGAACATTTATAGTTCTTGGAAATCACTACCTTGTAAATAGAACCTAGGAGAGAGTCCAATGAAGTCAGAGATAAATTAGTCCATTATTCTGGGAAACTAAATGTGAATATGAGAGTTCTTCAAAAAGTTCATAGAGGGCCCGGTGTGATAGTGTAGTGTTTAAAAGTCCTTGCCTTGCAGGATCCCATATGGGCGCCGGTTCTAATCCCGGAGGCCCTGTTTCCCATCCAGCTCCCTGCCTGTGGCCTGGGAAAGCAGTCGAGGGCGGCCCAACGAACGCCTTGGGAACCTGAACCTGAGTGGGAGACCCAGAGGAGTTCCTGGTTCCTGGCTTCAGATTGGCTCAGCTCCAGCCATTGTGGCTGCTTGGGGAGTGAACCATCAGACAGAAGATCTTCCTCTCTGTCTCTCCTCCTCTCTGTATATCCGCCTCTCCAATAAAAAAAAAAAAAAAAGTTCATAGAAAAACAAATATAAGATAAGCTTGGGCCCGGCGCGGTGGTGCAGTGGTTAAGGTCCTCACCTTGCACGCCCGGGATCCCATATGGGTGCCGGTTCTATCTCGGCAGCCCCGCTTCCCTTCCAGCTCCCTGCCTGTGGCCCGGGAAAGCAGTCGAGGACGGCCCAAAGCTTTGGGACCCTGCACCCACGTGGGAGACCCGGAAGAGGCTCCTGGCTTTGGATTGGCATAGCATCGGCCATGGCGCTTACTTGGGGAGTGAATCATCGGATGGAAGATCTTCCTCTCTGTCTCTCCTCCTCTCTGTATATCCGCCTCTCCAATAAAAAATAATAAAAAAATAAATCTTTAAAAAAAAAGATAAGCTTACTATGATGAAAAAATTTGCAGTTCCTGCAAGGTTTTTGTAATATGCATTTTTCACTGATTCTTTGAACAACCCTCACATGACAAGTTCATGCAGACCTTATTTTCTCCATCATCAGAAAGTTATATCAGGAACAGATAGACTCAAAACAAAGTGAAAGAACTCCCTACCGCTACATCATCTAAAGAAAGCATAATCCCCAACCTTCTGAACTCTTTCACTGTTTTCCTTCATGAGGCACATATTTTAAAGAGTTTCTAATGTAAACTTACTATTTTTGTTAATAATTAATGAAACGCATTGTGATGCCAAACAAAATGTATTTCTATTTAATATGTGATTATACCATTTTGGTGAACATTTGAATATCTTTCTTTTGGGGGCCATCAATCATGTTTCTTATTCTGCTTCAAATCCTTCTTCATCTAGAAGCAGCATCCCCAATGATGAGTCATTTTTACTAAACATATAGGGGACCCTGACCCATAACATGTGCCCATTACACTGAAAATTGTCAAGAACTTCCTGCAAACTCTAAACTCATTCCTCTCAGGTTGCTGGCCTCTGAACCCTTATTTATGTTTGGTCTCCCACCTCGCTTCCATATCTAGTTCTTAGACATGATCAGACAATCACGCACATGCAATGAAAGCATGCAATGAAGGGAAAAATCTGTGAGCCAATTCTGGGTATTTCCTAGAGAAGGAAAATGTAAGAAAATGTGTCATAAGCAAAATCAATGTCCTGAAAATTTTCTGGAATTTATATGAGATATAATTGAGCTTCTTTGTTTCCTTTCAGACTTACCTAACACAACTGGGATTAAAGAGTCAATCAAGCATTCCAAACACTGCACATTATACTTTCCTTTGACTTTGGGATAGTGTCTAAGAGCAGAGTACAAGGAGACAGGAAAGTAGACGAAGTATCAGACGGAACATAGTTTACTAATGCGAAGTCATGCTTATCAGTTAAACTCCTACTTCGAAAACATCATATTCTTCACGATCCACAGGTCGGGTACAGTATAGATTTCCAGTGTCTCTTTCAATGTAAAATAAATTCAAAGGTTCTTGATCAACTCCACGACCACTTATTGAGTAATAAATGGTATAATTCTGTGCTGCATCAGATTGGACCTAAGAGGAAAATAATATTAATTAGAAATCAAAGAAAATTCATTAAGTCTGCACCTGGTTTTTTCTTTGATTTTATTTTAATGATTATTCTTATTTCTTTGAAAGGCAGAGAAACAAGGGCAGAGAGAGAGGGACAGACACACAGAGAGAATCTTTCATCTTCAGTCTTCAAATGTCCCTGGTAGCCAGAGCTAGGTTAGCTAAAGCCAGAAGCTCAGCAAATCTATCTCTCATGTGGCTGGCAGGAAGGCAAGTATTTGAGCCATCAGCTTCTGCCTCACATGGCGTGCATATCAGAAGAAAAGTGGAACTTAAACAACACCTCAGACACCCTGGCACAAAATATGGACATTCCGAAATATTAACCTCTGCATCATACCACCCATATTTATACTGTATTTTAAAGAGAAAACCACAATAAAAAAGATAGAAAGGAATAGCCACATCCATTGTTGACAGGGGTGAGACAGACAGGTGTGACTCTGTACTGGTGAGATGAATGCCAATTGCAATGTGCCTAGGAAATCAAACTAGCAAAAACAGAGAGAATAAACAGTAAGAATACACAGGAAAAGTTTTTCCTGGAAAACGGGACAGGAAAGGATTCAAGCTAAGGTTGAACCTAGAGTGTTCAGAGTAGCAAGTGGGCCACCATTGTTGCAGCAAAAGAACTAGATAAAGGAACTGTTTTTTTCTACAAGAACTATTATTTCTATGCTTAAAATGTCTCCTGCTTTTCAGAATAAATTTTAGCTTCAGAACAGGCCAGTCCATGTTTGATCCCTGCATGATTCTTTTGCTTTCTCTTCCTGTTCCACTCTCTCAGCACAGCTCCTCTAAGGAGTCATTCCTGCTCACACTTGTTTATGTCCTTCGTATTCCACAAGGATTTACTGGCACGAAACTTCCCCAGCCCTTGGGAACCGGCTCAGATGGCTTACCCACCAAGCCTTTCTTATGTTTTATTACTGTGTCTTAGGGCTTTGTTTTCATCTCCTGTGTTAGCAGAGCACTGCGAATCACTAAGTATTGAAATCATTCATCTACTTCCAGTCCTTTCACTAGCCCACAAGCCACACGAGACAAGGAGTATGAATATATTCCTGTATTTCATACCTGGGATTATGCATTACAGAGGTGATAGTAAGGACAAGTAACCATCTTCTAAATGAACAACTACATGAATACAGGCTTCTGAGTGACTGTCAAGCCTTTCTCACATCATGAGCTTCCATTTATTCTGTTTATCACTTTATTTGCTTTTATTATTTATGCTTCACAGACATCTTTCAAAAGACTTTTTTTAAATTTTTTTTGGAAAGAGATTTCTTTTACAAATTACAGAGAGAAGGAGACTAAGATCTTCCAGTCACTGCTTCACTCCTTAAATGATCAAAATTGCCAGAACTGATCCGATCTGAAGCCTACGGGATCTTCTTCCGGGTCTCCCACATGGGTACAGGGGCGCCAGGATATGAGTCATCTTCCACTGCTTTCCCTGGTCATAAACAGGGAACTAAATTGGAAATGGAGCAGCTGGGACTAGAACTAGTGCCTATATGGGATCCCAGCATGAGCAAGGCAGGAGATTAGCCTTTGGCCACTGCACTGGCCCTCAGAAACATCTTTAAATTTACATTTGTTAATGTTTAAAAAGTTTTTGGTGACAGAAATGTGGTGCAGCAGTGAACTCAACACTTGACATGCCTATGTTTCATATTGAAGTGCCTAGATTCCAGTCTGGGCTCTGCTCCCAATTAGCTTCCTGCACCCTAGGAAGAGCAAATAACGCCTAAAGTGTTTCCATCCTGCCAGCCACATGAAGGATGTAGATTAAGTGCTTTCTCCCTCCTTCCCTTCTCTCTCTCTCTCTCTCTCTCTCCCTTTGTCTCTCTTTCCCTTTCAAATACACAAAATTAAAAAGCAAAAAGAAAAAGTCATTGGATCTGAACAAAACGGACTCAGAACAAAAGCACTTTCTGTGCAAGAATCTAAACTTACTTGTTGAAGCAGTAAAGGAAAAGGACCCAAGGAATTCTCTTGCATTGAACAAGGAAGAGGCACCCATCTTCTCTTGGTTCGCCGGAGCACGGTTTCTTTAGTGTGTCTTTTCCTCAGCACCTGAATTCAGACAGTGGGAAAGCCAGTCAGCAGAAGCATCACCATCTACTTGGCTATAATGTAACGGGCAGCCCATAACCCTAACCCTTCCTGCTCGGAAATGTCCATTCTGAAGCTAAACCAGTTAGTAAAGTTTTCTTTTTATTAGGAAGTGTAGGAAGGAATATAGCTAGCTTAAAAATACATATATAAAAGTTTCATAAACAAGGAAAAATGTTATATGTGTTTCTAATACTGACCTACATTGAGTTTTACAGTTGTCACTACCAGGTTAGCTCCTCTTCCTCTGTCCCAAATAAGGACAGAGGACACACAGAACTTACATATTATTCTACGAAACATTCTTTTTTTTCCTCAGGTAAAAGCATGAGAAGAGGCACAGCATTCACTATCTTATGCTGTGTGTACTTTATCTAATATTATAGGCAGTACCATCGCTGGCCACATTTAATCTAACAATTAAATGAATTTTAAAATTCTGTGCTTTCAGATGCAGTACTCAGGAATAATGAGCTACCATCCTAGTGCAAATTATAAAAACTTCTACTCTTGTGAAGGGTTCTTGTGAATATTTTGTGATGTTTATCAGTTAGTGCTAATCATTCATTCAAACATACTGTTACATTTAACCATTTAGTTAAGCAATAGCCATACATTTAAATATATTATTAATACATTTAATACATGATTTAGTCTACATTTTTCATCATTTTGTGACTGCGTTCATAATAGTTTGTCTTCCAGACAAAATATTTCTATCAGTACAAATTTATGAATACTACGGTACAGTAATAGCCAAACTGACACTGGTATACAGAGCCCATTAGTAAGAATTTATAGATGCAAGAACCCTTCATGAAGGTGGTATTATTTAGATTAAGCAAAGGACAAATACAGCCAGTGTTTGATAATATTTAGAGGGAGAGGGAAAAGGGAAAATTGGGATAAAGGTGAATGCAGAGAAAAGGGAAGGCAATCAGGGAACTGGTGGTAAAGCCCTATTTATCCCTTGTTCCTGTTGCAACTTTGGACTAGAGTATTTTAATAAAAATAAGCATATCTGAAAATATATATGGTAGTTGGATACCTTCTGCTGCTGCTCCAGGAGCACGGGAATCTCTTTCTGTATCCCTGTCTTTATGTCAGAAAGCCGTATGATGAATGATCTCTCTTCAGACAACACAGTGGCACTGGCTGTGTACACCGAGCCATCATCCAGAACTCTGAAGTCAGGATCACTTGACTGAATACGGTCTGCAGACCTGAGACACGCTTTCAAATTAACTGCAAGAAAAATTTTCAAATTGCAAAGTATAAATGTTCCTACAGACAATGCTACAATAATTCCTATGAGTCTCTCCAAAGTCATGAAGTTGCATGAAATAAGCCAATCACTCTCATTTAGCAAATATATTAATCTTTTTTCTGTTATTAAAATGACTTCCTTTCAGTTTAAAAATAAATTCTTGATTATGTATTTTCTATTTATAAACATGTTTTAAATTTTTCTGTGCCTCTATGAGGCTTCTGAAAATGTTCTTTCAGTTAAAGAGGTGACCATTACAATTACAAATGTTGAGCTATCCCACATACACCAGGAGAAACACGGAAATGTTTCCCTTGGCAATACAGTGTACTCTGAGTGTCAAGATACAACTCGTGTTATGCCATAACAGAAAAACCCACCACCAATGCAAGGTGACACATGTGGGTGCCAGTTCTGTTTGTGTCCTGGTTGCTCCACTTCACATCTAACCCTTTACTCATGGCCTGGGAAAATCAGGACTAAGTTGGTCCAAGTAGTTGGACGTCCACCACCTATGTCAGAAAGCCAGAGGTAATTCCTGGCTTCTGGCTTCTCAGGTTAGCTCAGCCCAGACTACTGCAGGCACAGGGGGTAGAGACAGGGGCAGTTTGGGGGAGTAATGAACCAACAGATGAAAGATTTCTGTCTCTGTCTCTCCTTGTGTTTTTCTTCTTAACTCCAACTTTCAAATAAAGAAATAAGTAAACTTTAAAAATAAATAACAATATTCTCCTATTGTCAGCCAGAATTTATTCATGTGAGCCTCAAAAATGGTGGAGTATATAAATTAGACAAGCATCCAAATAGGAAAATTCAGTCTGGATTCTTCCCACTGGCATGTCTCTGTAGCTTATCACGCAGGTGCAAGGCTCTGTGTGTTTACTCAACTTGCCCGGGTCTCCCAAGGAAATTTTCCATAGATTCTGTCCCTGGTAGTAATTCTATCTTCTTCTGTAAGCATCCAAACACACCTGTCCTCCTTCCCGTTCTTTAGCTATCTACTTTAACAGAAACCAAGGTGCTAAATCAGCATTGCTTTAATCACCTCCCAAAGTACATGTGCTACCATGTGCACTAGCTTCACTTTAATCCAAACCTCTGACCTGTGATGAGTGGAAACGTGTAGCCAAAAAGTGAGCATCTTTTAGTGTGAAACGTGGCTCTTTCACATTCTGTTGACTTCTGGTCTGTTCCCTTGGAAACATCCCCAAAATTTCTTTTCTTTCCCCTTTCTCACAGTAACAAAAGTAACATCAATTCAATAAAATTAAACAGGCACTTGAACACAAATGAGTTTATTAAAAACATAAATTTGCTGTCCCTTGCCTCCAGGCAAGCTGTATCTTTAAAAAACAATGCTGATGCTTTCCTCTGATATTTAGGGTACCTAAGGGAGAGCCCGCTGAGTAGTGCTTTCCAGCTCTTGGCAAAGTTGGAGTTTCCCAGCCTCTCCATGCTCTGGGGGCACATGATTGAGTTTTAGTTGAATGGATTGGCTTATCCTGTTCTTCGATGCATCTACATCATGGCGCTAATTCTCTCATCTCCATGCCTATATTTCTCCAAAGCTTAAAACTCATATAATATTAAAAGTGCTGTTTTATATACAATAATTAATATAAGTAGAACATTTACACTATAATTTATTCCAGAATTCAGTGGCATTATAAAAGTGGAAACACAATTTTAAATTATCATGATCATCTCGTTAATAACTAGATTCAAGCTAACTCCTAAGGTTAACAAAAAATATCAAGCTACTTATAGCATAGGTAAGCTAATTTTCTATCTTGGTAAAATAAAATTGTTTTAAAATTGCTCACCTTTAAAAAAAAAAATTAATAAGGGCCTGGCGTGATGGCCTAGCGGTTAAAGTCTTCGCCCACATTGAATGTGCCGGGACCCCATTTGGACACTGGTTCTAATCTGGCAGCTCCTCTTCTCATCCAGCTCCCTGCCTGTGGCCTGGAAAAGCAGTCAAGGATGGCCCAAAGCCTTGGGGCCTTACAGCTGCGTGGGAAACCTGGAGGAAGCTCCTGGCTCCTGGCTTCGGATTGGCACAGACCAGGCCATTGTGTTAACTTGGGGAATGAATCATCGGATGGAAGATCCTCCTCTCTGAGTATCTGACTTTGCAATAAAAAAAAATCTTTAAAGAAAATTGCTCACCTTTGCCAATAATTTTGTCTGCATCTAGTTTTGAAGGTACATGAAGCACCACCTTTTTGCAGGCTTCACCAACAAGACCAAAGATCTAGAATAAAAAAGAAATATATATATATATAATACATATTATAATATTATATATAATATATTATATATGTATAATGTCATATGTGATATAATAATATATTATGTATAACATACATGTACAATTATAATATTATACATTACAATATCATATATGTGACATTATACATATATAGAATTACAATATTATACAACAGAGAATAAAGAACAAAGAGCACATGGTCCCCAGAATAGATGCAGAGAAGGTTATTCACAAAATCTAATACCGTTGTTCTATCAAAAGCTCTCAATAGGCTGGAACTAGAAGGAAGCTTATTTAACATGGTAAAAAGTAGCTATGGGAGACTTTCAACTAATGTCATAGTTAGTCGAGAAGACTGAACAACATCAAAAAGAAGAAACTAGGATGTGCTTTCCCCATTTCTACCCAACCATATACTAGAGTTTGTCTCCAGTGAAGTTACACAAGAAAATCAAATCAAAGGCATTCAAATTGGGAAGGAAGAAGTAAGATTTTCTCTATTCACCAATGACATCAACCTGAACAGAAAAAGCCATAAGGAACTTACTGAAGAACCATTACGACTAATAAATGAACTGAGCAAGGTTACAGCATATAAGATCAACATGTAAAAATCAAGTGCTCCTGTACACTGGTAATGAAAAATATAAAAGCAAAATTAAGCAAACAAGTCTATTGGGAGTTGTATTAGTAAGACTAAAACATTTAGGAACAAATTCAGTGAAACAATTATGAGATTTCTACTAAACACCATAAAAAGTCACTGCAATAAATTTTAGAAGATCTAGGTAAGTGGAGAGTTAATGCATATCCATTAATCAGAGGACAGTCACTGCATATTCAGATCAACCCTATCAAAATCCTGGCTATCTATCTGAAGAAATTAACACTCCTTATGAAAATTTAAAATAGAGATAAACTTGGAAAAGAACAAATTGTGAGGTCTTATATTTTCCAATATCAAAATAGCTACAGAGCCATAATAATCAAGAATGCCAGTTGCATGAATATATGTAGAATATGATGAATGAAATAGAGCTAACATCCCAGAAACAACTCTTTTAAATGAAAGCTTATCTGCTAGAAAGTATAAGGGAAGGAAATGCATTTTCAACAAATTACATTGAGATCATAATAAATTATCACATAGAAAAGTCAACATGCACTTTAAATACCTAATTAATATCATACACAATATTTCACTCAAAATGTTTCACAGATTTAAATATATAAATTAAAAGTGGATAAAACTAAGGATACATTTTTAAAGATTTTTTTTATTGGAAAAGGAGATTTACAGAGAGACAAAAATCTTCCATCCGCTGATTTATTCCCCAAGTACTCCTGGGTGCAGGGTCCCAG